AAAAAAAATGAAAAAAAAAAAAAAAAAAATAAAAAAGAAAAATGTCCCACGATCGGTTCGAGCGTGCCACCTGGACCCCCGATAAAACCCTTTCGCAGCGGTCGGCAAGAGTGTCGTTCGCTCGTTCCTGACGCGTGAAGCCGCCAGAGAAAAATCTGGCCGATGCAGTCAGCTTGATGGCGAGACGTGGTTGAAGCTTTTTTTTCTTCGGCACCGTAGGCACCATGTGCGGGTGCTGCTGCAGAGAGCCATGGACCTTGATGGGCTTGGCAACCATGGCAACCATGGTACGACGCAGCGTTGCCACGAGGTGAACGAACACGTGAATGCAAAAGAGCTGTGCGCTGGAGGCTTATTGGTCCTTGAACTAGCAACAAACAAATGTAACCTGTAAACTCGGCGCAACGACCAAGATAAAGACTTCTCTCCCGTTTCTTCTTCATCATCGTCTTTTCCCTTCATCGTTCGTCTTCTTTTTTTCTTCTTCTTGTTCTTCTTCTTCTTCTTCTTCTTCTTCTGAACAACATGTCTCAACTCAGATTGATAAAGGCAACTCGTCTTTTTCGATCGTCAAAACGGCCTTGAACCTCGACAACCTTGACCTATGCGGTATGCCAGGAAACATGCTGTCCGCGTGGCCGAAGAAAAATCCAACGATGGCGAACTATCTTGGAGCATTCTTAGAAGCACACGTTCCACTGATGGAGCTCATGTCCAGCTCATGTCAGTTCATACAACTGGAGCTCATTGATTTTTCGATAGTTTCTTATTCAAATAGTAGAGAACCCCACAGAGAACGCATAAGAGGTTCATCGCACGTGTACATTTTAGTTAGAGCTTATTTATCGAATTATTCGATACCGTGTTTTAATGAAATTATCGAACAGAATTATTATACTACAATATGAAATTCCATTTTCTATAAAACTCCCAATTACAATATATCAGTAGTACAATGAAGTTCTATAGCAGAGCTTAAATAATCTATATAATGAATGTTTAAAAATACTTTTGTTAATTTGAATTAAAAATCATAGATGACGAGAATAATCTAATTCTTAGAATACAAACTACTATGTATTTGTTCCTGTCGGTAATAGTTTCAGATAAATCGTGTTCCATTGTAACAGCAGTTTGCCAGTTCTCTCTATCGTCTATTCCTCGTCCAGATAATAGAAGTTTACATACAGATAAACGGATTTCACGCTACAGTAGTAGAAATTCAGTTACCCGGTCATTAACTGAAATTTCGCTTCAATGAATGGAGGTTTCCTACCCTGTCTCACACCGTGAAACTGTTACCAACAAGAACAGGTTCAACTTTTCTAAGGTACATACACACGAGAGCAAGATCGGCTCGGATATAACGTTTCGTTAGTTTAGTAGCTCGGAGCAAGACGTTCAAAAGCCGGTTTCTATGTGAAACAACAGCGCGCGATTTCATCCGCGTTTCAGGTAATTCGTTATTTTGCAAATGATCGTTTCGGCTCGGCCTACTATTTACAGAGCGACGAGAACACTGTCCAATTTAAGGCCGTGCCAGACGATACCTCGATATCCGGTTTTTACCGTCACACCCAGGGGATCTTGAAAAGTAACGCGCTCCACTCGTCGACAGTTTGACAGACGGATTGACACTGCGGTCGTGTAACCTTCGTCGTTCGACGTTGCACATGATTCCTCCCCGATCTATTAAAGAGGCTCATTTTAGAGTCGATTAAAGAAGATATTCAAACGTGATCTGCGGTGCAATAAACGATATGGCTGAAAAAAAATAATGAGTGTATATACTGAATTCTGTTAATAAGCAACGAGCTTTCAAAAATATATTTAGGAACGTAACACACCTACATCACATAAGTTACAACGAGCTATAGTGTCATAGTTGCACCACGGTATATAAATTTCGACCAAAAATCAAGCACGTGATCCAACTTTCAACAGAAGTCTAAAGTTCAAGAAAAGGGTCTTGCTAGAAAGTTATTGCAGTTCCAGTACTTGAAACAGATATCCTTAGATATTTTCATTTATACAACTGGTCTTGTAATCAATTTTTTTCCCCCGGGAAACTGAAGAAAAGATTATAAAATTAGTAATGTGATTTTCTTATACATTGATCATTTATTATCTTCCGTAAGCAGAATAAGAAACTTGGTAAAAAAAATAATAAATTATCAATGTGTAGAACTTGTTAGTAAAAAGATTATCAATATATAAGAAAATTACATTACTCGAAGAGAATACCTATTAACATCATCATCATTGACGTAAGAACGAAATGAGCAATTATTAATCATTCGAAAAAAAAGCCTATCAATGTACTCTCAATCTTGTTGTTATTATATATATATATGATAATTTAAAACGATGCTAAAGATTAATATTTTCGCATACGTGTCTGCTTAATCACTTAGGCGCTAGCTCAAAGCGAGCGACTTTGTTGACGTCGTTTGTCAAAAAAAAAAAAAAAAAAAAATGACCTAAAAACTTGTCTCTAATAATGTGTGACTCACAACCTATTCACTTATCTATCCTAACACAGAGGTTTCCAGGCTACGACCCTCCGAGAGATATACAACTATACCTAAGCAATTGTTCCATCCCCTAAGCGCAGTTAATGCACTTCTGCGAATCGAACAGCTTGCAATGTGTGTTCTCTGAATAAATGCACCACGCGATAATTAAAACAATACTTTCCTAATCCACGTTTATAGAAATATGTAAATTTTATTCGTACGATATTCTAACATACGTTTCTTACGTATACTTTTATTCGAGATAGATAGACTACG